CCTTTTTTTTTTTTTTTTTTTTTTTTTGGAAGTATAAAGAACCCACTGAGTCAGAACTTATTTACATTAGGTTCTATCTCGGACAGTGAAGCTGCAGCTAGCAATTACCAGTCATCCAGAATGCAAACAAGACTCATTCAAAACTTAAAAGTAAAAAATCTAGTATTTTTCTGCTGCATGCAAAATTAATTTATTTTAAACTAATATCTGGCTGACACTTTAATCCGAAATCACTTTTTTGTAACTGTAAGATCTTTTGTTAGAGAAGTGCAGAGATGTAAAGTCATTACATTATTTTGAATGGTTTTGAATGTTTATAAGAATTCTTAAGACACTGTCACTTTTATATCAATCCAAGAAGACCATTTAAACTAGGCATTCATTTAAACTAGTTAGCCTTTTAATAAATAAGGTATTCATCTGTCTCCACAGGCAAAGGTGTTAAGAGTTCATCTTCATATAGCATCTAATATGACATCATCTTTAAAGGCCATAGTAATCATGGATTTGCAAAAAAAGTGTTCATGATGAGTAATTATCAGATGTCTACTCTCTTGGATTTTATGTGGTATAGGCTTAACACCCATCACGTGTGATTATCTAGCTAAATTACTTATTCTGAGCATCCCACACTTTTGAAACTTTTTGAACACCAACATGAGACCACAAGTGGAGAAGTTCACACCTGACCATTTATGACGGGTTGTACACAATATATAGGTACACTAAAAATATTATATAAAATTACCTTCCATCTATGTATAAGGTACACTTGGACCATAAGTGAATTTCGTGTTCGTGGATCCTGTCTCCAAGGTATCTCACATATATATAAATATTCCAAAGTCCAAAACAGTTCTACTTCCAAGCAGTTCAATAAGGGATATTCAACCTGTATGCCATACTTTTACAAGTTTTCCTTTTATTGGGAATCAGATGTTTGAATTACATAATTTATAATCATTTTGTCTAACAGAAGTGGATTCCCTGCAACCCCTAAACCAGTCTTCACAATATTTCTATCTTGCTTCTCTATATTCAAAAGTGACTAGAACCAAAATAACAAAATGAGATGGAACTTTGGGTTATAAATTTTTCCTTACCCTGAAATTTTATGTTCCATAGTAGAGAGAACAATTCTTGATAGCTACAGCTTCTAGTGGTGACAGCTTCTGTCAGTAGTTTTCTTGGAAACTAGAATCTTTCCCTTTCTTGAATAGCAATCAAGATTGATCAGCCTTGTTTTCAGCTTCATTTCTTCATGGTGTCTACAGAAGAATAATTTCTGAGCGGCAGTTCTGATATCGCAAACTTTTTTTTTTCTTTCAAATTTTTATGCTAGAAAGAAATTATTGTACCCATACAGTGCCTCATTTTTTGCTGTTTTCTGAGGCAGGCACAAAAATTCTACCATCTTACTAACTCAGGATGAATTATATTTCTTAATACCTCAGACACACTCCAATCATTTTTTAAATTCAGATCATTCAAAGAGTAGGTAGATCCTAAATTTGTCTTCCCAGTTCCATCACTTCAAACCTTCTCCCAATATGGAAACTTAGTCTATGCACTTTAGGTACCAGAAATAGACTCTTAATTCCACAAAGAGGCTTTTTAAACTTACTCTAAGAGTGAATTCAGTATTGCCCATATTCTTATTTTCAAGGACATGTGTGCTGATTTAAAGAAAAGGAAAAGATCAGCAATTCTCATGTCCACATGTCTGTCCCTTGTAAATAATTGTGACCTTTGATGCTGTCAACACTGATGACGGCAGAGGAAGGTTCTAATCCTGTTAGAAGTCCTGGGGTAATAGAAGAAATTATTTGTTTCTTTTATCTCATCGCAAGATAAGAAATTTTCAAGAGTAGTTTTACTAAGAATCAAAGGCAAGATAAAATTAGAAATGTATAACTTTATAAAGCCCAAATTCCTTCTACTATGTCAAAGAAACTAAAGTATTAACTGAGCTTGGCTAAAATAATTTGAACACCATACAGGCCAAAAGATTTTTTTCTAATAATATTCCGACGAAATCTTAAGACATATATGTATTTCATAGCCTTCACTGAAGTTTGACTAGATCTGTTCCTCATAGCACTCAGTTGGAGTCAGTCTTTCTATCAGCCATATGGCCTCTGTGGCAGCCTTGAGCCTGCTTACCCCTCAGGTGTTTACTCCAGAGAGCAAAGGACTGCAGAATGTGTCCAACTGCCAGACCCCAACTAGCTACCCTATTTCGAGGGAGGCATGCCCTAACTCCTGCATTTTGAGATTTGTTTTCTGATAAACTGATTCTTCTCCATTTCTTTGCCTGCCTTTCCTACTTTTCAGAAAAATCCCCCTTAATTTCAGACTTAGAATATGAAAATACTTATGACACAAATTTTCATTCAAGTAGTTCAAGATTATTAATAATGCATTTACTAAATGATATAATAATTTTCTTTTAAAGATAGTCTTATTTCTCCAAAATAAATATGTCCATTTTCTTGTTTTCCTAATTGTCGGGGACTGTCCCTAGAGATTTGTGCCAGAAATACTGGCAGCATATAAACATCAGTGGCAGTTATTTTATGGCAGAAAGGGAATGAAAGAGGATTTGGGAAAACAGTTGCTTTCTTTGTTTTTCTCAACTTATTCTTGCATTTTATTTCAGTCTTTGTTTCTCTGGCTTTCCTTTAATTGAGAGCCTATTTTTCTTTATAATCAAAAAATTTTTAATCTACTCATTAAAACTTAATCCTCAAAATACAGTGTTTTATGTTTAAAACTCATAGTTAAAAGCATATTAAAAGTTGGATCTCCATTTTTAGATTCTGTTGGTTTCTTGGGGAGAAGTGAAGAAAGGATAAGAGGAAATTATTCTCTTGGACTACCCTCCACAAAATCCTTCTCCGCATTTTAAAAGCTCTTGTTCTTTTCTAGGAGTCCAATGTGCTGATTGCTGCTAACAGTCAGGGTACAATAAAGGTAAGCTGTTTTATACATCTCCATTTTAAAATCAGATCCATTTTTAGGCTCTACCAGGATCATGGAAACAGATAATTGTACTGAGCCTTAGTGATCATTCCAAATTATGGATCTCTGTCTCCTTGAAATGTCTTGCTTGAATGGGGAAATAATTTGGTGGCTTTCAACTATGGAGATGACAGTCTTTGTTGAGGCTGTATAGGTTAGTAGGTGATCTGCTTGAAAAACAGATGAATTCTGTTGAGCACTCACTGTGGGTCAGTCTCTATGACTTCTCTTACAGCAGTGCTGCTATCCCACCAGCCATTCAGCAGACAGGGTTCAAGATCTAGCAAGAAGGACTTAATGCACTCACTACATTTAAACATGTCCTACTCTAAATTTTATTCTTTGTTATATTTTTCTTCTCTTCCCTAACAAATTAGTTATTCCTCAGTTGTCAAAGTAGGGGTCAGGCAGGTGGAGATTTTAGTGTTCACTTGAAAATTTATTGACCATGTAATCATGTCATTACTGTACATTTGAAATCTTGAATACTCCTTCATATACTTTTCTTTGTAGTTAGAAGCTCAAAGAAGTAAAAATTTTACATAAATATTCTATTGAATTTTTGATCCTTGGCCATAATAAAAGTGATAAATCCTGAGCTAAGCAGTGAACTTTCTAAACAGAACACCACTTTGGTGGAGGCATTTATTAGCACGTATTCTGAGAATGCCTGTTCTCTCTACATATTTTCTGAAATATCACAAAGTATTTTTTTATGTACTGTACTCTTTTACCTGCCAGTGGGCATTGATTTTGTCATATTATTACATCTATCCTAAATAGAGAATGACCCTGGCACCAAGGGAGCAAATACAAGCCTAATAATCCTGTAGGTAAAATGGCCAAACTCAGAGCATAAGGACATCAATGTTAGCTAATCAAACTAATTTACAGGGTAGTTTTCTTTCCCAGGCTGCTAGTTTTCTCTGTTTGGAAAGCTTCTTCTAAAGAGGAACCATGGAAAGTTTAAATGACAAATAGGTCTTTTAAAACCAACATGTGTTATGTTCTGGAATCCTCAGGCAAAATGGTTAGAAGGTCTTAGAATCTTTGATTTACATGACTTTCTATAGTCTGTCAATATCTATTTTTGTGGCAAGGCATGAATTGAAAAAGGTACACTTAAGTCTTGCTTTGGAGCAGTGGAACTTACTAATGTCCTTGCAGGAACTCAAAGCTTTGTTGATAATCACAGAATATCACTGACAAATCTAAGATTCTGTTCATCAACATTGACCTCTTATATTAAGTAGCCTCCTTGCCTAACAAAGACAAAAAGCATTGTGGAAGCATGAATATAAGTCAGATGAAGAGCTGGAGGGGAAAGGTTGAATCTTTAAATATTTGCCACTTAGAATTGCAGTCTCCATGTAGCATCCTTTTTGATAGTGGCTCATAATTATTTTCATGTTCTCTGTCCTTTCTTAGCTATCTGACTCTCATATTCTTATGTGATATCACATATTTTCAGCAATATCACAGCCAACTTTTAAGACAGAGTACTACTTGAACACTGGAAACTAAGAAAATATCTTGACATCAGATAACTGACCAGGAAATGAAAGAAGCAGTAGGAAAAGGCAATATTCTAGATCTTATACCCTGACTGCCAGTGTTTGGTTTAGTGTTTGATCAAATTAGTGTTTATCAGGACAAAAAATGCATTGAATAAAATCCTAAACAATACTTTTAAGTATTTTTAAAAATACATAAAGAGCTGGGCGTGGTCATACCTGCCTATAATCCCAGCACTTGGGAAACTGAAGCAGGAGGATTGCTGTGAGACCAGCCTGGACTATGTAGTAAGACCCTTTCTCAAAAAGAAAAGAAAATGTAAAAATACTAACAGGTATTCAAAAAATGTCTACACCAATTCATTTATTTATATGTTTTGTGTAGTTTATCTTGAGGACTCTCTAATTAACTCTGAAGATATTCTAATCTCAAGAGTTCATGCAACAGTAGAAAACAAGAAAGGATTAATGTTTAATCCCTTCATATTCTTCACCTTTAGGCCAGTGGTAAACATTTTTTATTTGGTTTTCCATTCATGTATGTAGAGGAGATTCATTAAACTTTTTATATTTTAAAACTATTTTATAAAACTACTTTTTTTTTTCTCCAATTAGGTGCTAGAGTTGGTATGAAGGGTTTACTGAAATCAAATTGTGCTTGCTCCTGCTGAAACACATCTGCAGCTGACAATGAGAGAAGAAACAGAAATATTGTGTGCTATCTCTCCCCAAAGTCATCATGGGTTTTGGATTTGTTTTGAGTACTTTTTTCCTCCCCACCCCCCTTTCTGACCTCTGGACATTGGGAATACCCAACAGACTCTCCACCATCAATGTAACTCCATGGACTTTGCTGCTGTTGGTGGTGTGGTTATCTAATTTTTGTGATAGGGAAACAAATTCTTTTGAATAAAAATAAACAAAAAATAATAAAAGTTTATTGAGCCACAGCAGAGCTGGAAAAGTTCTTGTCAAACATGATGAAAGATACTCTTCAAGAAGTGTCACACATGGCCAAGGAATTTAGCTCAGTGGTGCCACCTCCTGCTTTGCAAGCACAAGGTCCAGAGTTTGATCCCCAGTACAAAAAAAAAAAAGTGGCACACATAAACTATAAAATAACAATGAATAATTTTAAGGTCCATATTTCCCAACCTCTTTAGAATTATACATATCAGGTTAAACAGTGAACCTAATGTTGACAGTAAAAAGATTACCTTATGAATTCCTTTCTTCATTCTGTGACCAGATTTGTTTCTTCAGCAGTACTTTATTCCACAGTACTTTATTTCCCAGGCCCTCTACATCTGGCCACAGATCTGAAATTCTGACTTGTTAAGATCACATTGAAAATAAAGCAAAAGTCAGTCTTCATATCAGCTAGGTCTCTCTTTGCCTTTTATATTTCATATGTACATGCAAAAAGCCCTGAGTGTATACACCAAATCATCTTATTTTATGAAAGTCATAGCTATCACATAGTTGTAACTATTAAAACCATCCAGGCTGAGCAATGGCTTGAAGCAGGGGTCAGTAACATTTTCTGTAAAGGAGCAGATAATAAATATTTTAGGCTTTCCAGGCCATGTGGTCTCCATCTCATCTCCTCAACTCCCAGTTTAGCAGGAAAGCAGCCCCACAGTATGTGAAGAAATGAGCGTGGCTGGGAAAGAAGTGGGTGGAGGGTCAGAGTTTGCCTATAGATCATGGTTTGCCAGCTTCTGACTTACAGGAGAAAAGTCTCAAGCCCAATTATGCAAATTTCCCAACCATATAATCTCTTTTCAAATTCTAAAAGGAAAGAAATTAGTAAAGCAGCAGTTCAAGCAAAAGTAATGATTAATGAACTGCTTTAAAAGTCTGAACACTTTTCAGCAAAAGATAAAAAATAAATTATACATTTTGTAAAAATATACACTTGGAAAAAGTTGATTGGATAAAGATAAGCATGATGAAGGTATTTAGAATCTCCCACTCTGTCAACTTAAAATTACTGCAGCCTACAACAGGTTCTTTTTTCATTATCTGAAACTCTTGAGGCCAAGTATATTTTGGAACTTAGGATTTTTTAATATTAGAATATTAGAGTACATAAACTATATGTTAAGTAACAATTTCCAAGAGTGTAGAGAAATATTTCGTGTCAAACATATTATTACTTCTGCAGCAAAATGTATGAATGTTCACATTATGTGGGATTCATTAAATTAATAAAAGCTAAAAACAATCTTGCATTAGTTCAGATCAAGTTTTAACCACCTAGCAAGTTTGCCTCAAACTTAGGTGAAATTTTTTAGTTTCTAGAGCTTGAGAAGAATTAAATCTTACTAACTTCTGGGAATTAAGATCAGATAAAACTTTTCAACTGAATTATGAGAGGAAAGCTAGTATTACTCAAAGGTTCCTGTCACCAATAGAAACTGGTACTTGGACATTGTTTCCAAGATTAATGAATGACCTTTTGTAAAAATATTAAAAGACTTATTCAAATGTAATCTTAAGGAAATTTACTCAGGGATATATGCCCTAAAAATCATTGAAATGAATTTTTTAAAAGGTGTAGGACTGAGATACAACTTCAAAAGATTAGCCAGAGTGGACTACTAATAGTTGAAAGAAAGCCAGTAGCGTGGAGCCTTCTATGGGATGGTTGAGAATTTGAATTTTGTTATAACAGAGTTGAAGGGAAAGGTTAAAGGAGATGACATCTGATTTGTGAAGAATGATAGATGGGAGCAACAGTTAATGGAAGCTTGGATTAAAGGTACATAAAAGCGTAGTTACGAGATCCCTAATCAGCAGTGAGACTTGGGAATCTCCTGGCCAGAGTGCTCATGAGTTAGTTTGGGGGATCACTTCCTGATCTAAGCAAACCTAGAAGCTTTCTAGCCCTTGCTTTAAATATAAGGGTAGTAGGTCATTATCCTTAATGTAATTGTGCAGCTGTAAGTAGGATTCATTGCTTTACCTGAGCCTATTAGATTACATGGCTGACATTAACTCTTGCAATAGCGTGACCTTATGGTACTCCCAGGGCTTCTGGTTAATGTGTTAAGTGTTTCTGAATTCTTAAGCTGAACAGAAAACTAGTGCTATTGTAGAAATACTGGTTGAGCTCCCACTTTATGTGAAGAATTGTGTATTACTAGAGATATAAAATAAGACATGACGCCTATCAAGATGCTCATTGTCCAATGGGAAAGACAGGATATAGGGTATAATAAATGCCGTGGTAGACATAAGGTTTTGTTGTGTATTGAAAGAAAACAACACATAAACTAGAATAGTGGGAGATGAAGGGCTGGGGATAGAGGTAGGTTTCAGGAACTTTTTCCTGCAGGAGGTGGTTATCTTAGCTGAATCTTGAAAAGCATGTAGGAAAGGGACAAAGGAACACAAGACCAAGGGTAATTAGTAACAATAGCTTTCATAGCCAAAACTGGGACATTTGAACCATAAAGTATTACTGGGTTGTAATCCAAAATGTAAAATACCCATGAAGCTATAGTACTAAACATGATTAGACAAGCAAGTGTAGAAGAGACATTTTCTATACCGAATTCTAATTATTTACATGAATACTCCACCCCAAGAAAATAGAGCATAGCCCCACTCCTTAATATGGGCTGTGACTTGTATCTTTCTCCTGAAGAGTGCAGTGCAGACAGGAAGAGAGAAAAGCAACTTTACAAAAAAGCTTCACAGATCACGTGAGCCATGTGATCAGAGTCAACATGAAAAGTGATGTCCTGTTGATGAAAACATACTGTTCATAGAATGTAATGAAAATGGTATTTTAACACTGTGGTCTTTTTTCCAAAAAAGTTATCCCATAACCTCAGGCTAAATGAGGAAAATAGACAAATCTCTCCTGAGGGACATCCGATTAAATACTTGACCAGTAATCCAAAAGTGGCAAAGTCATCAAATCAAAAGTCTGAGAAGCTGTCACTACCCCGAGGAGCCTATGGTGACATGATTAAACGTTCTGTGAGATCCTGGGTGGAATTCTGAAATAGAATCAGACACTCCGTTAAAACAAAGTATATCCAAATAAGGTACGGACTTTACTTAATGTCATTACATCGGTATTGGTTCATTCATTGAGACAATTATGCCTCATTAAGATTCTAAGAGGGGAAACATGGGTGCACGGAATAAGGAGATTCTTCTCTTTGCAACTTTCTTATAAATCTAGAAGAAAAAAAAACTTCCAAAGTAAAAAGGTTTACCAAAATGAAAACCTTTGTGAAACTGTAAAGGTAGGTCAGAATATATGCACAGTACATGAGCTGGGGGGTTTAGCTCAGTGGTTCAGTGGCCTGCCTTGCAAGCGCAAGGACCCGAGTTCAATCCCCAG